TTGAGACTTATATCCCAATTCAGACTTATATATCCATATTCAGACTTATACATCCCAATTCAGACTTATATATACCAATTCAGACTAAAATATCCCAATTCAGCCTTATATATACCAATTCATACTAAAATATCCCAATGTAGACTTATATATCCCAATTCAGACTAGAATCGGATTTGAAATCTTTGACAAAACATGAAAATTTCTTTGTGTTTGAAAATGGAATGTTAAGTCAGAAACCATTATGAAAAATGTAATTAAATCAGCCTAAAACTTGTACAGATGTCCAATTGATTTCAAATTCATCTCAATTCTATTTTGATAAAAGCTGTGACATCATTAACCCTTTAACACTTGAATACCAAAACGTGACAAAGCATAAATATCTTATACAAACAAACCAGGGGAACATATAGGGTTAACCCCTGTCTTTACATCCCCTGATACATACTAGGTACATCAAAGCTTGGTCAAAAACTACCTAACGATCTTGTAACAAAAGAATGTGTTTATTTTTCTCAAAATATGAGTGACACACCTACTAGCTTAAATATTTCTACAAACTCAATTATGAGTAGAGATTTATGTCTTTCTTAGCAACACCATGCAGTGTGCAGTGAAGGAAAGTTTTAGAGCGATATATAAACTTGTATTTATAATAATTATTTATATAAGTAATTTATTATCAGTAATAAGTCTTCCTAGATCAGCTAACACATGTTACACAATTGATCTACATTTTTTATGCATCAAGCCATTACATCATAGTAATAACAATCCAGTCATTTGAAAAAAGCATTATATATATATCAATTTTAACAAACCTATGAATACCACTAACAAACTCACTGACCTCAAATACATAACAATGAATAGCAAATGCCACATTGATCTGAAGACACTCTTATATAAGACTTACAAAGTTAATAATGGGAAGAAAAGCAATGGCTTACCTTGGGTTGTGCTTTTCGTGGAAAAGCCAATTTAGGATCGACCTGAAATTATAAAAGATTGAACCATTAAAATCATGAATAACCCCTTAAATCCATGAAAAAAAAATTCAATTTGTTTTTAATTTTTTTTAACCAGTTTGGGAGAAAAATTAACATACTACTTAGAACTTTCATCTGATGATAATGTAAATTCTAAAAAAAGAGTAGTATGCCATCAAATTATCTAAAGGGTTCTCTACCTCTAAAAATCAATAAGATGTATCCCTTTAAATAAAACAATGAATATCAAAGAAGCACTTAGGTAATGGCACAGAAATGATCAAGATTTAAACTAATCTAGTTGTTTATTGTCTAATAGTTTTATAAAAATAACCTATGTTATTTCAACAATTGATACTGTCATGGGAAAATGCTGATATTTCTTTAAATGTTTCTTACACTAAATTTTTAATTGCTTCCTTCTTTTATTTATTAGTACAGTATATGGAGAACATTGATTTCTATTTCTGTGAAGTCTTTATTAACTTAATTATCTCAACAAAGAAGAAGAAAGATGGAGATTGCTAAATGATATTGCTCAGCAGCAATCTTTTCAAGGTTGAAAATCGTTTTTTTAAGAAAGCCATAAATAGTCCCTTTCATGGTGGTCAATTAAGATTAAAACCAAATAACCCCTAAAATCGGCGATGATGAACAGAAGGTGATAAAGTATTGTTGATGTGTCAGGATAACCTTGGGATAGGGGATACCAGAAAACTGAACTTTTTGAAGGTAAAGCCCAATACACACGACAGATTTTTGGCCACAAAACATATTTTCATGATAAATTTATGTGACAAAGTGGTATACACAATCTATATTCTGTGCCTGGCTTAAGAGAGAATGTTCCTTAGTTAGTTTTGATAATATTGAAATATAGGCTATACACAAAATCAACTAGGAAGTGTTACTGAGAAAATGCATCAGTCTTAGGAATGGCTACAAATGTGAAATATTCATTGACACCTGCATACAGTACAGGATATGATACAGGTCAATATTGTAAATTGCTCAAACTTCCCTATAGCTATGATTATAATTCAATATTCTATCACATGTAATATGTGCAATGAAGTGAAGTAAGGTCAAATTTAAATTTAAATAATGACAGGTACACAATACATTCTTGATAACCCAGTCTACTAATTGTTTCTTGATGTTTATTACTGTTTAATCAAGACTAGAGGAAGTAGGGTAGTAAAATCTTTTATTATTTAAGGTCTTCAAATTGAATTGTTTGACTTGCTTTGTAATGGTGTCTCCTATCGAAAATGATGTCAGATTATGTAACCTTGGCTTGAGTGAACAAAACAGGTGTTAAGAGATCAGTAATTACACCCAACCCTTCATCTACTCTAGTGTAATGTAGGCTTTAGTGTAATATTACATCAAATTTCACACTCAGGGCTTGAAAGACATGATTTAAATTGATACTTAGATTGTTCATAAATCATTTGATTAGAGGAGTAGTAAAGGTAGAGAAAATCAAGGGTCATTTAAACTACAATGATCTTCAGAAAAGGATTTAAAAAAACTCAAATTGAATATATTAAATCTTATTTTGAGAGTTAAATTCATCTGAAAGCATTTTAAGTGTAGAGTGACAAATGCTTGGGTTCATAGAATTATTTGTTTTCTTATAAACGTGAAAATGGTGTAGTTTATCACATATGCCTTCAATGTGTCTACCTATGGCGAGAATGACAGGCAATTGCTTCAAATTATATTTTGATAAATGTCATGTAGGCTAATTGACGACATCCTTTTTATTTTTACCACAACTTTGAAAAAAATACTGGATGTGAGAGTATTATGATTTGAGCCAAAATTGAAAAAGGTAAAGGTGTATTGGCTTAGTGCTGTACAAGAGCAGAACTTGGAAATATCCAAAGAGAAAGGCATACTTTTGCCTGTCTAGTCTAGAATAGTAGGATGTATAGTTCCATTCTTTTTCCTTTTCTTGACTTGACCTATGGTTCCATTACATAACATTATCAGCTCCAATATTGTTCTTGTCAATAAACAAAGTCAAAGATAGGAAAAGTGTGTCTGCTTAACAGAAGTCATACCCCACCAAATGTTGTTTTCATATCAAATCACTGAAGAGTAGGGACAGGTTTCATCCCTTAAGTCCATGTTTTGTCTAAATAGAATCATCAAAAAGTATTTAGATATGAGTTGACCAGACAATTCTGTTGTCACCCCTAGGGGTCCTTAGTATTAATAGCTTTCATGTGTGTCAGATTCCTCAAGTTAAGTTTTGGTCAAGCCCCTAGGGTGATGTGGAATGTTTGAAGCCCTCAGTGTTAAATCCTCAGAACAGCATGTAGATATTTCACAAAGAAACTGGCTTTATTAACACTTGAGGCTATAGACTGAGATTTTATTCATTCTTAGAAAATATTCAGTGATAAATCCAAATGAAATTTCTAACTTATAGTTATTGCATGATTATTCTGTTCTTGAATTGAGACAAGTACCAGGAAAATGTGTAGAAATGGACTGTAAATTGACCATTAATTCTGAGTTTTTATGAAAATTTAACATTGGTATTGTTTATATATTTCAAGCCTCAAGCATTAAAGAGCAGTTTGACTGAGATGTTATTTCCTAGAAGTAGACATCATGTTACTACAATGCTCGTATAAAGCTTGACAAGACATAAACATTTTAATGCCAAAAATTTATGAAATGGTCAAACTTCTGCTTTGTCATTAGAGCAAATTGATCTTTTTCACTTTCCATTTAGGCCATTTTTGTTTCGCAAAACATAGAGTGTTATTGTTTGAGAGTATCTAATGACAGAAAATAAGTGTATAACAATCAGTGGTATAACAAGATAAAGGTGGCAATATAATATATGTAGGTAATATAAATTATAATATCAAAAGATCTAGAGATATTATACTATGATTTGTGTAATATAATAAAATATATTATGATGATTAGAATATTCTATATAAACATCTGGTACAATCCATTAATTCTATGTCAACACCTTCATTGATTTTAACACTTTAAAACAGCCTAATGTCTTTAGGTGCTTGTTGCTTAAATGTAACAGAACACTAAATTCAATGTTTTTGAAAAGTTTGGGCTAGATTGACTGCATGCTTTTGGTTTTTTCTTTTGATTTATGAGTAAAAATTATATCATTTTCTAATGTTTGTGATCGTTTACAGCTTTTCACCAATACATATTTAATTCATGTCTTTGGTTTTTGTGGTTTTGTAAGTTACTATTTTATATTTTTAAAAGAATGGTTTACAGATTTTTTGATAATTTTAACACAAATGAAGCACGGATTTTATCCTATTAGATCTTTGATTTCTGGGAGGAATTACCAAAAGATTTGCTGTCTTTGGATTTTGAGACCCCTAATTTGAAATTATCTTAATATTAAACAGAAATTTTGTCTACATATAGACTTCATAAACTAATAATAATTTTGAATCCACCTCAGGATTCTGATGCCTGTGCCTGTGCTTCCGAGAGTCAGCGCGGTGTCAGCTTTCACACCCCAATACTTAAAAAATATGCTTAAAACAGTTTCTGAATGAATCACAGTTTCTTCATTGTCATAAATCTAGGTGTCATAAACGCTGACATGACAGAGTTATTGCAAATAAGCATAAAATTAGTCTTTGTCACTTCAATGGTTGTACTAAACAACATAAAAAATATGCAAAATTTTAAAATTTTTAGAATAAATTTGATAATTTCATGACTGATATTTGAAGAAATTTACAAATATAGAATTTTGAGGATAGTTTTTGACTATAATTTTATTTAATCTAAGTTTTCACATGAATTTTTATATAACAATAAGCTTCAGGCAATCATTCTTTATTCTTAGATAACATATAAATAACAGTATTTTTCAAAATAAATTTGTTATATGATAAATTATTTTAGATGTAACTTGTTCTATATAGACAGTATTTCTGATTGCAATTTTTAAAAATGTATATCTCTGAATTAATTATTTAAATGAAATGAAATGAATGGAGTTTTACGTCCTACTTTTCTGCACCATGTGGGAATTAATTATTTAAAGTTATATCTGTAAACTAAAACATACACAAAAGAGAACAAATGTATACATATAACCAAATCTAAATCAAAGGAATAAAAGATAGACAGAAGAAATTGGAAAAGGAATGAATGAACAGTATTAATCTATAAAGCAATATAACCATGCATACTAATATTAGAACAAATAGACAGAGAAAGCTATAAGCAATACTATATCATAACATGCAGAATAAGAATTTTAGCAATGAAAGAGAGAAAAAATGGAGGATAAATAAAGAAAGAATGAATAAAGGAAAGATTATAAACTACCAACCGTTTTTGAATCTATAACATGAGGTCCACTACTTAGAACTTTGTCTACACTAGCCATATCTCTGAACGTAACAAAACCAAATCCCCTGAAATTAATAGACATAATTCTACGTTTAAGACAGTACATTTACTACGTGGCCTTGTTCCTTGACTAAGTTATTGTAGGTTAGATCCATGAGGCTGTCCCTTGGGAAAGGAATGAGTAATTATTCCTGGTTCAATTAAGTTCAAGCCAGATATCATACTCTTGTAGCTGTTAAGTTCCACAAGAACAATTTCTGCTTCTTCCTGATTTGCTTTCGTTTTTTCAAACCAGAAATTTCTGTGAATCAGGCCGATTAATGGAATTGAAAAATGATTATTTGTGCCAATTTGATTGGTCGATATCATTGCACTTTATATGAAAAAAACAATTAGATTTCTAAACATCAAGTTTGAGAATTTTAAGTTGTTTCTGCCAAAAAGCCTGAGATAAACCTCCATTTTTGAAGGTGAAGGATTATACACAAAGCTTTTGCATCATGATCAAAGATGCACAAGAAACTGGGACAGGACGGACACCTCATGGATAATACCCTATTATTACATTCTACATTACTAATAGTTGAGAGGCAATAATACATTTTCTACAATAAGCCATACAATTAAACCCTGTAGATTAACTAAACATCATAAACATGGCTTAATTTACATATTGTGTGTAGTTTAATTTCAGTACCAAAACATGCAAGCTATACATTGATAGTACCTTTTTCGTATAAACTATAAAACACACTCAAATATGTAAAAGCAACCATATTTCTAAGCAGAATTCTAGTTTTTACAACATCCCACAATTCTATGAAGCCCCTACTCTAGTTTGAAGCACTACAATTCTTCCCTCATGTTGCTGCTCCACAGGAGCACTGTTCACATCCAGTGTTGATGTACTGGACCTAAATTTGTTAGTTTGTTTTCATACATAATACATATTCATTTACATATTGGGACCCAGGGTTAAGTTATTGCCCCTATAATCTCTATAGCAACCAATCTGGACTTTCCTGGATTGAAGGTCACTTTAGTCTCTTTAGAACCAAACCAAGTTGAAAATATCACTTCGGTATCCTATTTTGGGGAGTTAACCTTCCTTTCTGAAAGTTCCTTTCCTGATGAGGATTTTATATCAGAAACATGTAAAATGAACTTAAGTCAATAAGTCTCAGCATTCTAAGTGTAACAGCTATCTGTAGTAGTAAGTGCATTGTAATTTATCTGTACATTTTTTAAATTAAGTCCAATTGATTAATTTATTAATGAGCGAGTGAGGTTTATATTTTTTCTAATTACGTTTACACCTTATTACTTCTATCCTGAAAACTAATCTAAATTTCATGTATAAACTTTTTATCCATTTAGCAAACATATCACTGTAAGTCAACCAATACAACCATACCAATAATTTCAATGAAGTTTTTATCGTACAAAATGTCAATTCATTGAAAGAAACCTTGTCCATGACCTAATCTGATTTCTACATTTCCATATTGAAAAATCTCTGTACCATCAACCTATTTCAATTTCAGGGCAGTTTAGACTTGACCATACCATTCAGCACCAATGCAACAAACGAACAGAGTTGTTTAGGTGTCCCTATAATGAACACACTATGATTCATGATAGTAAGACAAATTCGACTTCGTCATATCTGATTTAACCCTAAGAACCTTAGCCAGTGCTTCCATGACAAACCTTCCTTAATCTGATACCAGATGCAAATAATATTATTCATTTGCAACAATTTTCAGTACGGTAATATTTAAGAAAGTGGATTCTATGTTGGAAAAGTCATTATCATGATAGTACTGCGGGAATAGAACACTTTCGATGTTGGCACCAACAACCTAAATAGTCTCTTAATAATTAGATTTATCTGGGGCCAGACAATTTAATTTGAAAAAGTAGAATTGCAATTTAATTCTGTTACAAGACTAACATAAAGCTGACACGAAAGGGAAAAATGTTGGAAATGCACAAAGCTTGGCGTAGTAGATGAGTGAATAGAATTGTAAAGCTCTAGGGATATAAATATTTGATACAGTTTCCAATCTCTACCATATCATACTACACTCCAGATATTACAAACAATTACATAGCAATATAACATAGTTAAAACTGTTAACTTTAATATTCAAATAGCTTTATTACTGCACTGGTATAAATCGCTTTTAGAGTAAAAAAAAAAACTTGGAAGCCAAGGCCAGTGCTTTTAAGACATCACAATGATCAGTGGTATGATGATTAAAACTCAACTGACTAATTATCATAACCAATCATAAAATGTCATCATACAAACTCCATTCCCTGAAACACTTAGTAGTAGTCTCCGATTGGGATTGCCAGCTTAAAAATTCCTGAAGGATGGGTTCAAATGGTAAGGCTCACATCACAAAAGTTTCTGACACCTTTCACAAAATTTCAAAAGTGGACTTCATTCTATAAATCCAACTGACAGTTCAACTTACAAATTTAAAAGGGCGATGACCCAACACAAAGCAAACATTGTCTTGGGCATAGAGGATCTTGGATTCTAATTTTGAACAGCTTCAAAACATCCAAAACCATTCAAACATTGGATTGCCTGCCCTGTACTAGTGTAATAGCAGCTTTAATACAGATATTGATGATGACTATAAACATAACTGACATTATGACAGTATATATTAAGTCTAATAATGAAACAATTCTCAGAAGACCTATACTCTATGATATATGACAGAAAAACTGTTAAAAACACACAATCAACGTTTATGACAATTCAGCACGCTTAACATGCAGTTTCTTTCCTGATTAATAGACTTGAGCAAATTTTATGACATTATACAACTTTATTCTAACTTGTTGAAGAATTAAAAATCGCTTGTCATTTTCAATCATATTGTTAAGATGTGAAATAGAATAGACATTTGGGATTATGGTAAAATCATCACATCTGGCAGAGTCATTTTGCAACATCTTGAATAACTCTGGAAAGAAGTTGACTCATACTTGATCTATCTCAGTGTAAGGGGAAAAAATTGAAGATCAACACAGAGCCAACTCCCGAATATACTGGCTGTGGACTTAAAAATCTATAGTAGGGGATTCAAATCTATTCAATTGTTAACTGGCTGATAAAGTTTTACCAGATGACCGACACTCAAACAGGATGGAAGTACTCTCCATCATTTTACATACTTTTTGTGAATAGTATCGATAATAATCAACAAGGTTTCGTGTATAAGAAAATACTGAGTGGACTATAGCTCTTGCAATCAATGGCTATTTTCTTTTCCAGTTAGATTGATGATTCGTATAATTAAGTTGGACAAAAATCTCCATATTGGGTCGAGATTATCTGAATTGTACGTTATAAATATTCACGTTACATATTATGACTCTGTTACGAACAAATACTTCATCCATTTACATCAACTTGATCAACCTTCTGTCACGAAAACCAACTTCACAGACGTCAAAATAAAACAAAAATTGTCTTCTGTCAGTGAAAAAAATGCTGAGTTTTTGATGAGTGTTGACATTTTGGAATAGAGGACAGTATTGGGTTGATTATCACTGCTTCTATCGCTATCCATACGACATTTGAAATTCATGAGATAGCCGGCATATAAATAGGAATCAGTTTTAATAAGTCTGCTGGGTTCAAGATGTTAGGTGATGACGTACAACACACAGTGTTTACCATTTAATCACAGAAAGTCATAGAAAATTTTATCAAAAAAGGAGGTAAGAATAGTAGGCCTATCTTAATCTTAAAATTTGAAGAGTTCTTAAAAGCAAGACAAAAATACATGAAAGTTTGTGCTTTCTTGCTACCCACATCAATTTTGAAGAATACAATTTTGGAGAGATAGAGAGAAAATATCATCCCATCTTACCCATAGTTTAAATCTAGACCTGGCTGATTAAACATATCTCCACCTTATTTCAAGAATTTGACCCAGAAACAAGATAAATCTCAAATTTTCTACATTTCTTACACTTTCAATAAAACTTTTTACTCCCTGGTAAAAAAACTATTGGCAAGTGAGCAACAGAGGTATTTAAGGTCATTTCAATTTGACCTGATAACCAACTAGTCTGGTACATTAGTGTCTATACACAAAACATTGGTCTTTGCAGAAAACATTTGTCTGGTATGATAGTGACTGTACATCAATGTGTTCTGTTATGGATAATCCCTAAAGCACTCATGATAGATAGTCTCAAAAGCATTGCATACAAAATATCTGCCTTTATTGAGATATTAACCTTGAAAGCAATCTCTGTTTATTATGATCAGATACAATAGTCTACTTGTTATATTGAAGAGACACCAGAACAGTTGATCTGGACTCACAAAATCACTGGTTGTGGAACCAGAGAATATTATGCAAAAGGATTAAATTGCCAAACCAATGTTTGTGTGTTTGTGATGACTTGACAGAACAGATTGTCCACATAACACTGAATTCACACAACAGATTGGTCTAGTACAATAGAGACTATAGACAGATTATCTAGTCTTTTGTCTCATTAGTAAATAGTATTAATTAGTAGGAATGATATGAGAGATAAAATGGAGTAATCATTGTATTAATAAAGGACACCCTCTTTATCTATATCATAATTATCTAGTACTTGAAACAACTTGAAACCTCCACCTTTGACATTATCTTGTTATACAGTATCAAAGGTATAATAGTAAAGGTGTGAAGAAGGGGAGAAGGGGGGAGGGGAGATTGAAAAGTGGGAGAGGGTGTACTGCAACGGAATGGGTCATGAAGCCATGTTTTTTAGATTTGGAGCTAAAAAACTTGTTTTTTTCTTTTCACTTTAGGCTTTCTGAGATATCCCAGGCCTTGAAAGAGATTTGATCTGTTGAAGCCTAATTGTATTGCAGACGACAATCCAAGTTGCTGTTGATTGAAATAGATAGGTTTAATTCAACTTGGCAAAGGACCACACATGTGTTTTATTGCTCTTTTATCTACTTGGCATTGCTATATGACCATTCATTATGAGAAACAAATCCTTCCAAATGATTTCAATACAGCAAACCTTCATTTCATTAGCCTAATAAATATAGCAGAACATCGAACTTCATTTTACTAACAAAACATATTATACCCTTTACTTTCCATGCTTATCTGTTTTTTCAGAAAATAATGCATCTGACAAAAATAAGCCAGACAGACAGCGAAGCAGTCCAACAAGTCACTGCCAATCAAAGTCAGAAATCTACTATTCTGTTCATGAACATTTTAAAAACAACATTGTCAACAGGTTTCCTTGTCATACCCATTGAAACTGTCATGTATTATTGTAACATATTGCAGAATGGCTTTGAAACTTTTATTTAAAGGTAGAAAGTACTAGATGTTAAAAGTATTTAATCCATGCAACACATGTCCATTTTTTGTTTTTTTACCTTAATTCTTAGAGGCTTAAATTCAACCTATTTTTAAGTTTTTTAAATAGGTCATTGATTTCATAATCAATATTTCATTTTTAGGCCTTTAAATCTTGAATATGAATCTTATATTTTGGCTTTCTTATTTATAACCTAAGAAAAAATAAAACGTAAAAGCGATGTGGAGAGAATGCAAAGTTGGCAAATCGAGTTATAAAATGGCACAAGTGTTTCAGTATTGTAAGGATGCCTCAATAGTAATACTCAATATAGCAATATATGGAAAGAGATACTTGGAAACAAATCTGCATTCATTCAAAATCTTAACACTTTTCTTGGCAGTGCTGTTCTTTTAAATCTCTTAAGAATAAAAACACATCTAATTCTGGCATTTTGCTCGGAAATAAATTTGGCATTGGCAGGAACTTTTCCAATTCCTCAAAGAATCATCAATTTGTCTTAAGTCAATATGAGTATCTTTATCTCAGGAATAAAAATCTTCCGAGATTGTTTTATGGTGTTAATTAATTTAACGGAAAGCTTTTGAATGTCTGAGATTTTAAATGATATCAATACAGCTACCATTGCTTACTGCAGTTTTCTCCTAAAAACTAGTCTAGTCTAGAGCAATATAGAGAACCATCAGATGATAAGAACTGATTAATATCATAAAGGGAATAACCATTTCAATTCCCAATTCTAACCAAGAAATTTGATTGTCTTTTAAGAAAATGATGAACATTCAAAGATGTACTTTATTTGAAAAATAACTAGAGAAAGCACTAAATTATGTGCATGTGACTAATACTGGCATTATTCATATCACAGAGTAAAAGGCAAGGTTTTCACAGGAGAATACCACAGTTTTTCCAATGCAATGGCCACAAGTCTCTTGTCATGCAGGATTCAAACCCAAGACGCCTAACTACAGACATCAATTTAACTCATTACTGAATGAACCATCGAACTTGACTTAACTGACATTTGTTTTTAGACACAACTTAAAGATTTCCTGATTAAAAAAAGAATTCTTCTGAGAAATATTGAGAATGAGAGAATCATGTGCTTTTTAAAGTCTAGACAAAATCGAAAATAACATATGAACTTTAAATATTATATATTACCAATTCTCATTCAATTTTCATGTTACACTGAACTCTTCAATAAAAGAAAACAAAAAAATGGCTGAAACCATTGCGCTTCAAGTAATGACTAATAAATCATACGGTTTACCCCTTCTTTTTAAAATAAATTGTGAAAAAGACTGCAGAATTTTATCCTTTTTCCTTATGTTCACAATAATTTGACACTCAAGATTTTGGCAGAGGTCAATGGGTTCAAAATTCATTCACAAACTCCAGCCATGTAATGGCCAAATTAGCCATTATCTGAAGAATTGAACTGACTACTCCAAATCAATAGATATAGGTATTTTGTTTGTTTATGGTCACTTCTTATCTGAGAACAGGTCAATTTCTCCCTGGACAAGACAAGTACTATAGTGACTATACTGTGCTATAATAAGGGTAGTAAAAGTCAATAAACTTAACGGTACATAATAAATAGTATTTTATACTGGTTCACATCATAATTCATACAGGCCTGTCACTAATATTAACATAAAGTAGTAAACAATCGTACCAATTAGGCAGACCAATTTACAAAGGCATTGAACATTATATCATTATTCTGTGAGAACAAAGGCATTAGGCAGACTGGGAAACTAAAATCAATTTCAAAATTGGGTCCATTTCATATCACAAATTATGAATCAAACTATTTTGCTCACACCTGAGAAAACCACTGTCATGAAAACACTAGCCAAGGTTGTCAAATGTATAAAGTATTTAAACAGAAATAGTTATTAATTTAAAACTTTCCAGTTCTATTTCAATGAACCATAACTTGTATTAGCAGAAAAATTATGAAAATTTGTTATGAAAATTATTATTCCACATAATAAACATTAGTTCAGCATATTAACTTTCATGTCTAAATAACTGTATCAATAATTCTAACAGTTCTATGATTTTAAAGAGAAGGTTTTAATTTAAAAAAGGCAATATGTAATGAAGTTTGATATCCTGAGTCCAAAGTTCCGCAAATTTAGACTTTGTTATATAATACTAGTAGGGGTACTCGTAATTGAAGTTTAATCTTTTGCAATTGCAAAATTTCCCTCATTACACTCTGCATGTCATTTTCTGTTTTAAATTTAATCTTACACAACCAGGCATTATCACCACATAGAAGATCAGACTATAGTATATGAAAGCGGTCAATATCAGAAATATTACAGTATTTATTCTAAATAATGTCAACACAAAAACGGTTTTAGATATAATATATAATATTGATGGAAATGGAATAGAAATATCCAATAATATTTTCAAATGTCCTACAATAACACTAATATTAATACAAAAACCTAATATCTCAATATTTGAGTTTATTCCAATACATAAACAGATATAATCAAAATACTATTTATAATGTTTTTATTCCCTTCCTGAACACCTAGTAGCGCTTTACCATTATAATCAGTCCTGCTTTCAGGGAATATATGTACCTAATTTGAAAACATGATAGCACTCTGTGATTAAGTTTTTCAACTTTTCATTTCAGCATACATGTAACACAATTATTTTGATTGGAAATATCAGTTTAGTCTTTCAACATTTGATTTTTTTTACAAAATACCTAACAAGAAGAAAGTTTTTTTCAAAAATGAAGTTTGAATTTTTACATGTTAAAATATCTAGCATTTGTTTCATGAAGTTTAAAAATTTTACACTTTTTCACAACTCCATTAAAGAAAATACGATAATTTTTTATTATGAAATGCTCCAAAGATCTTGAGTAGGAGTTTGACACAGAGAAAAAATCCACTTAGTAGTTAGAGAAAATAAAACCCAACAATTAGCTATCGGCCTATAATTTGGATCAACTTTTATACCTCCTTTATTGAAGATCTTGGTATCTAAGAGAGGCCATTACTGAAGAATTTTATGGGTTAAAAGATATTGTGAACTTAGAAGGGAAAAGTAAAAATGTGTGATTAAACATTGCTAAACAATACTCTTTCTCTTTCCCATTTCAAATCATTTGTCTTCAGTCCTAGTGTAACATTTTGTTTACTTTCGATTTGTTGACATCCACTGATGCATGTCAACAATAGTACAGAGATACAATAGAACAAATTGTGAATATCTAGCTCTGTCCAGACTTGGTTACTATATCATACTTATGGTTGAAATCTCTCTGAAGTTTATTCAATATATATTTGTTCTAATGAATGATATAATGTATTTGTGAAAGAATATTTATATAATTCTATAGTTACACCCTTAGTCCTAACAAATATTTCTTTTCATTCTATTCATATCCTACCACTTAAATACTTGTCCCTATATAATCCTATATTTATTATATTGACGATATGTGCATATTAGATCCTTTCAAGCCCTGTGTCTAACTGCTAGAGCTTTTTAGCTTTGACATTGAAAGGTGTGAGAAAACTTATTTTTTAGGACACATCGATCAAAGTTCAAAAACTAAAATTGACAAAATCATCTTTCACAGCTAATATATTCTTTAATTTAAAAATTCACCTATAACATTACTAGAGAAATTAGGAATATAATACATGAACTTGGAGCTCATAGACAAACTCACTTAACTAAAGCTCAAATTCATCTAAAATCATTCTTTCAACTTAAAAAACTCATGACCATGATAACAAGTTCATAGAAAAAAGGGGTAAAATTTGAATATCAAATTTTGAGTTCATGTCACTTAAACTATATTAGTCCACCATCAAAATCTATCTAAACTTTCTTATATTTTAGATGGTATATCATAGTCTATATGTCATTTTTCTCTGATAAACCTCAAATCAGGGAATCCTCTTAAAATCAGCACCATTCATCACAACAGATTATCCTAATCTCTTAATCTGATTAGACTTATCAATATCTAGCAGGTTCTTAATAGAAACAATATTGCACACACAAAGCCTTCAAGGACCCTTCGATTTAGACTTAGGAAGACACTTATCTAAATACCCTATTAGCAAGTCAATTTCCTTATATACCACACAAAATTAATTTCTTTTGCACACAATTTTTGGTAAAAAAAAATTATCCCTATAATAATTTCCTCATTCAAATCTTTTCAAACTCGGACATAATTTTAATAAATGGGATTTTTTTCTAAACAAGAAATGAATCATACAGTAGTAGAAAGTATAAAACGGTTATTAGATATCATGACCTATATTCAATAACTGACGAGGCAATAACGTCCCGGGCCAATATCAGCAATAACTGGTCAATATCAGTTTTGGTAGACAAATTATACTGGAATTGTCATTTACCTTGATCGTTTTGTGGACGGATCTTTCATAACCATGGTTTCCTTAACTTCCCCGAATGCATCAAAAAATTCCCTCAAACGATCTGAAACATGAAAATCACACAAGGATGAATATTTGAAGTAAGGGATTTAACGGTGTCTTGATACACTGTAAAAACAAAGGGTAGGAATTTGGAACAAATAAACCGTTTGACTCTGGCAAATACTGATGCAATGAGATACACAATGAAATGTTGAGACAGTTGAAGACTGGATGGTGTTTGGTATTATTCTATAGTACTGTATAGTCTCATCAGCATAATTAACAGGCTGACTCCGGAGACTTGCAGACATTCTCATAGTTCGGTACCGTTATATTACACTATATACCATTTAACAGTATATATTCGCCATTTTGAAACAAGCCTCTTGTACTTTTTTAATGAGTTTTAGGCCGTGGGAAGTGTATTTTCTCCATCACTAGACATTAAAGCAGGTCGTCTTGAAGTTGAAAACAGTAAATAGGCCTATAGTATAGTAGAAATAACTGCACGCGGCTCAACTACAACACAGTATACAACAATTATGAATGAAGAATTGAACGTCGATTTGTACAGTTAAACACAGTAAATCCATAGAATAATTATTAATCCGTTGTCTTACCTGCTGTCGTTTGCCAGGACAGCCCTCCGACGAACATTTTCCTGAAAAACACAAAAGAAATTGGCGCGGTTAAGTCAAGCCATTTTGAGTTTCAGTGATGACCTATTTGAAACGGCCCGTGACATAAGGAAAAGATGATGAGAGAAAACGGAGTAGAAAGTAAGATTTTGAGTGTTTTAAGGAACTTACCCGGGATCATTAGGCATATCATCGGAATTACTGTTGGGAGAAGATTGTGACTGTTGATCCATTTTCATGTTTTCTAAACCAACTACTCCTAACTATCTACACAGAAGAGTGAAGCATGCACGTGCCTTACTAGATACTGACTAGCTACCTAATCTGCTATTGGCCCATCGTGGGTGGGCAATTCACACAGTATACAAAGGCGAGAAGACCCGCTGATTGACAGCAGGATACACCATTTTCATTGGTTCATTTTCCGTTTCTAGGCAACCATCAAAGGTTTTCTTTGACGTCATATATCAATTTGACACCTAACCCCGCCTTTGATAAGGTTCAGCACAATAAAAACAAACACGCCCAACTTAAATCTTTTGATAATCGCCGCCAATCATTTCATTTATTAGATGTGAATTCTACGTTCAATACGTCAGTATATCGGTATTTAGCGGTTTACGGATTTTTTTTTCTGTAGCATTTAGTTATAAAATAAAAGGTAATTGTTAAACGAAGAAAGAATAAATGCAGCCATAAAACTTTCGGTGGTTTAATCTAAGTAAAATTTATCTTTCAATAAATGTTATGCAACGTTTGAGACATGTTTTAAACTAAAGAGTGTTTACCATTATTTCAACGGTGATTTTTAACAGTGTGCGCAATGAAGCAGTACGAATATTGTTCACTGAAGAATGCCGATGACATGAGATCTATTCATACCCCCATTTCTGACACCGTTTGTTTTCACTATTAACCGTTACTTACCGATATGTATTTTAGGTCATTAATGGTAATCACATAACTATACTCACATTATATAAAGAAATCAAAGGAAATCAAATTTGACGATTTTAAAACCTTCAAGGAACGAAATGAACTATTCTCTCTGTTTGCGTAATATATCGCAATCTTTTAAAACGAAGTGTAACTTCCTTTGTATATATTAAATTTTTTGAAAATATCCTGATTATCAATAGAATAGAGCTTCATTGAAAGCAGATTTGAATATAGACCTAAGCAACCAGATGGTGTGCTTACAGAAGAAAAAAAGTTTTTACCTAATTTCTTGGACTTTATTGGACAATGCCAAGGTATATGCAATGAGAGAGAACTTGTACATTGTAAATTTACTAATATTTCAGACGACACTATATTATTGAATTTTGTACATAAGTCGAGTCACCAATAATCGAAGAAAAATTCATTCATTCATTCACTCATTCAAATTTCTAATGTTAATAACAGTATAATATACAATAATTATGAATACATAGTAAACTTTAGATTCTCTTGTCCTGCCAATCTTTAACATCGGTTCCATTGGAATTTAAAGGCAGGAACTATGTTTGTTATAGTCTGACACCCACCCCCTCGCTTTATTGATGGAATAACTGTAAAGTATATACATGTACTGATCTGGTAGAATGCTATACAGTGGAAGTATGGAATAGCGTGTTAAATGGTCGTTAGATTTCCAGGTTTGTGCTATCATCCTGTTCAAAACGACCACACTGTCATGCTACCTTGTAGAATATTCCAAAACATTACAGACATTCGAGGTATGCACGGTTTTTGTTTGCTTCGTTAACGCAATTAAAAAACACCTGGAATTGAAGGGGTACCAAAAGGTTTGAGAAAACCCTAAAGGCCATAAGTGTTCTGTTCTGTTAACAGAAAAATATGTTTAACGTTACATAAAATTTTCTGTTTTATTTACAGTCAATTACAGAATTGAATATGAACTCAATGTGTATAATATTCCCTGCAACATTTTAACAGACTTTCCAGAAACCTTCAAGTGCCTTAACTATTCTGTAAGTTTAACAGGAATGTCTGTGTATTCATGTAGGCAATCAGGGCATTAAACATTTCTTAGCAGTTTTCTTGTAAATGTTATAGAACAATGCATGGCGAATTTCATTTGAATACGCATCAAGCCTGTCTGATATTTTTCTCTAATATTATACAGAGAAAAGAATATTCAGAATCATTTAGTATATCTGTAAATTTAACAGAACGAGACAAAAATCCGTAATTTTCCTGTAGGCGGTTATCATGCATATTATTTTGAGACAATATTTAGCATTATGTAACATTCTCTGTAATATCAGAATGTTAAAAATGGTTTTAAAAGATTTTATATATCTGTTAATTTTACAGAAATACCTGCATGTGCAAACGTGTTATGTTGATACTACGTAATGTCAAACAGAATATTGCAGATAGGTTCAAAGGATTTAATATATCTGTTAATTTTACAGAAATGCTTAACAGTGTAAGGTTACTACAGTGGTCATATCGACATTCCATTCGACAGAAGGTTATTATTGGAAACAAGGTGAAGACATAATTATCTATAAAATAGATATCTCGAAAATCTATAAATCTCAATTAACAGAGCTCGTTATAAACTCCCCAGTCTCATCCTAATAAGCAGTTGAAAACACAGATATTTGAGGTTTTTAATTAAGTTTAATATAATAATTACTATAGGTGTTTATTAGTAACACATTAGTTGATCTGTACTAGTTTAAAGTAGGAATACCACAATAATGAAACATAATTGATTCCTCGCTTCATTATCAGTCGCAATCAATTTTAAAATACTTTATTTCTGTTCGATATCGTAAATGGTAAATTCAATATATGATTCATATTGGTTTGGTACAAACGAATTATCTAAACTCCTATGTATATTTATATAAATAGGTTATTTCTAAAGTCAGTTACACAAAATTGACTTCCTATCGGCTACCCAAGATCCCGTTCCGATAATATAATGAAATAATTTTTGGAATAACTCTGTATTTGTGCAAATCGACACGACCCTCTTTTCGAATACCTATCAGCTTTACATTACAATCCCTGCTTTTTTGGGGTCGTGTGAGGATCATTTGTCGTTAGATTAGTGCTTACTTTATGCAAAAGTTTTCTCTGAACTGTGGTCTAGATAGATGCTTGATGTAATTTTTTTTTTAAACCTTACTTTCGTGGATTATTCACCACTCAATACAATGACGTAAATAACTCTTTCCACGGCACACACTGGACTTGTTCTAATTAAAACCAGGATTCAAAGGAACCGTTGGCTTTACAACTGTATGCATAAAAGACATTTCAGGATTACATTGGAATTATTGGTTGCAGGAAAATAAAATATCGTCTTTTAATATGTTGACATCCATTCGCTTTTCACATCTCTCAAGATAGAAAAATCAAAGACAATCTTCTGCCAAGTGCCAACTCGTGCAGATTTCATCCCACATCAAAGAGTTATTGGTATTTAGACAGAGTTATTCCTTCTTATATCAGTGTTTGGTGAGAAAAATGACTAAATATTTAGAAAACCTTCTTTATCTCCAGGCATTGATGTCTTCGAGTTGCAGGAATAAAGGAATAAGTCTTGGTCGATTCCATAATTTTCAAGATATTCTCTCTAATATTTACTTTCGATTTCCACCACAAAGGACTGGATTCGGTCGCCAGCTGATAGTCTCGATTTAATATCGACTATTTTGGAATATTAGAAAATTAATCTGTTTTTAAGACCGGATAAAAGTGCATATTTTGCCCCCAAAGCTAATACGTCCAGACTTTTAATGCAGATAGTCTTTTATGATGTACAGAAATATTTCTTTTGGGTCTGCAAATTTCCAGGTCAAATGGAATGTTGTGAATAAACCTGCTAAAAACAACGGGGCGAGGTCTGAATCGTATAAAAACTTTACAAGTCAGAAATATCTTATTACAAGAACAACAGGAACAAAAAGAACGTTAGAGGCAAACCAGCTGTTTGGAGGTAAATTCCCACATATAACAACCGGAAGTTAGGGCATGATGCCTGCAGTAAATGTCACGTGTTGCAAGAGCCTGTCAGACGAGAGGTAAAGATGGCGATGGTCTAATTAGAGGACTCACTGACATGTTTACGATATGACCGGCTGGTACATACCATGAAATAGATTATCTTCAACATTTTAATTGGTCAAGCATGTTGGGTCCTAATACTAATGCGAATCATATGTTTAAAAGTTCTTTGGGAATTGTAGAAAAAAGACATAACATTTGATCTATTAATTGGTTCCATTTATGATAGAATTGGGTTCGTTTATTTTGACATCACTGACGACGTCGAGATTTGATTGCAAGATTGACAGTCGGATTGACAAGGAAAGCTTAAGACATGTGCATTTTTCTGAATCATGGCATTTACAGCATCCCAATTTGACTTTTCTGATTATTCTGAGTTTAATACAGAATCAATTTATTAATGAAATGCAATTTTTGAAATTTTATCTTTAGACCAACTTATGCTGGGCACTTACTGTATTGCTCAAGTATCTCTTCTCTGTCGAGGCCTGGCGTTTATGTCCAATTCGTTGAAAAGGGTATTGACATATTTTTGGCAACTAACTATTAGAAATTGTTTAAGAATTTCCAGAAGTAAACAAGATTTTAAAAAATAAACGCATAAGAAAACACAAATACTTCAGCACAATAATGTCATATACACCTTACCAGAAATATATTTGTTTACTTTTGGAAAACAGGTAGTAGCTCACAATTGGCACTATGCTACAATAACTTTGGTGTACATGTACCAAATGAATGGTGTGTTCGATTCTATGTACTGGATGTTGTTATGAGAACGTTGATTAAACCTGTGGTTAATAATCATACCATAACTAATTATTCCTGATATACTTCTTATACTACACATAGTACAGGTTGCTTTTGTGTGACATAAATATACATGTAGTGATATACTAAAGTACATAGCTATACATAGGTAATTTTTAATATTTTTTTTAATTTAGCATTGCCAATAAAACCACGAGTCGCATTGTTATCATTCTT